TTAAAACACAAAGATTATTGCGTTTAAACGCAATGATTATTGCGTTAAAACGCAAAATTATTGGGTTTAAACAAAAAAATATAATTGCGTTGATACACAAACAGTATTGCGTTCAATCGGAAAATTATCGCTTTAAACGCAAAAGATTGCGATTAATCGCAATTTTTTGCGATTAAACGCAAAGTGTTTTGCATTTAAAGACAATATACAATGCGATTAAACGCAATCTTTTGCGTTTATTATTATGTGTTTAAACGCAATAAAAAATATTTCTTATTCTGAACTGGCCTCATCAGGCTTCCATATAGATCAGTTGTGAAAGAAAAGTTTAAATGAACGTTGTATCACACTAGTTTATATCAACCAGGTTGACCTACATAGATGGGTTTTCAAGGTTGACCGCATTTAAACCGATATCAGAAAAGGCACATACAACAATTGTACAATGACATTTCGTTTAATTCATAAAAGTTACCTGTTAACATTTCCAAAGTAAAACGATGCGTTAATTTCGCTGTGTTTCTAAACTGTCTGTCTAGTTTTGCTTCAAAATTTTCTATCAGACAAAGATTTTTCTTGTGAGTGGGTAAATAAAATGAATTGCAAAAAAAAAATTAAAATATGTAAATCTTGGTATTCAATTCTATTAGACTGAATACAATCATCTCTGAACTGCGCATGAAATTTAAAATTGCTTGACCCATATAGAAAGAACAGAGTACGAACACGTCTTTAAATTTGATTTGAAGCGTTTAATTTGAAGCTGAAAAGTCCTTGATGTTCAAACCTTTATAAGCTGTCTTTAAGCTACTTTAAAGCTACTGTACCTCTCAGCTACTTTTACCTGGAAATTAAACAATCTTGAAACAAACTTTACTTTTTTGTAGAATTCACGGCGGCTCTTTATTTTTCTTAATTTATTTTCAATATATTTTGTCAATTCCCAATTTCCAGTAGTATAGGAAACTAATTTTAATAAATAAGTAAGCATCAGCATAATCAAAATAAGCATCATTTTACAGCATTTTACAAGCATTTTATTTCTACGACCATTCTATTTTGTCAATGAATGTTGTTCATATTAATAGCTTATCCTTAAATACACTTTTCTGTAGGACAACAAAATGAATACTGGGTTAGGAAACTAGGCATCGCTGTTCCAAATGGTTGCAATGACAATGTCGACAGTGTGGAGAGTCTTTTAACTGCAAGGTATGCCAATAAAAAAAAAGTGGAGTTTGATCACGAACAGTGATCGAACTCAAAAAAAAAAACAAACAAACAAACAAACAAACAAACAAACCACAAAGAAAAAAAACTAAAAACAATGCATATCTCTAAATAGGACATAAAACACCAACACCTGGAATTCCAGAAGTAGAATCAAGTGCCTAGTAGGAGTAAACATCTCCTGTTGACCGGTCATTTCCGCCGTGAAACCTATTTATTGATCAGGTAGACGTAACATTTATCATAAAACAAATTTATCATAAAAACAAAGATTTAATATTTGGTGTAAAACACGTAAACCAAAAAAAAAGACCCAGTGATAGGTTACAAGACCCAGTGATAGATTACAATTATATGACGAACAATGAGTTAACGAAATGCTGACTTTAAACAGAGATGTTAAAATCTCTGTAACATCAACTTATTTGTTATTAGCCTACCACGGTTAAAAATTGATCATATTCAGAGCATGCTCTTGTGTATCGAATGAGTTGGGAGAAATAAATTCCATATGTAAGTGAGAGTGAAATAATACACCATAAAAAGGAAAGTTTACAATGGAAAACATGAAGTCATCTCGTTTGTCATACAATTTATTTGTCAGTTTCTATGGTCAGTCAAACATGCGAAATATGAAAGATGTGACAGATACCTTTGGTGTTTTTTAATTCGAGTGCACTGGGATATATCGAGTCGACATATGTATACAACTAACAATTGTTAATTGATAAAATGTCGTCGATATATCTGAATATCGAGTTGAAGGCCACAGCAGGTATTTTATTCTTCTTATGTGGAAGCTTTTAAATAAATTCTGCGTCATGGGAATAAAAAGCAGGACTAAAAAAGGAGGACAATCAATGCTAAACGGAATTCCAACATTTTTTTCTGGATTGATATCATCAATAAGGAACCCCATAATCATTTCAGTATCAACTTCCGAGTACTTGTGTGCAACATCAGAAAGAGGTTTAGCAAAGTAATTCTGTAGATGACTAATCACAAGATATAATTTATTAATTCCATTTTATGAGGAAGCAATTATATTAGATGTCGTAAAGTCTGTTCTTTCTTTCTTTTTTTGTGAGGTATAGTTGTATAGGGCATTGAAAAGTAACATTTTGGTGCTACTGATTTTTAACGTCGTATAACTTCAAATTTTCCAAATAGTTTTGGAGATATTGAGAATCCACATTTGATTTACACCACATATTGAATGTGTTGTATGTCCGTGCTTTTGAAGTTTTCCCTTTCACAGCTGTTGATATTTAGTCACGAAGTATCTCTCCAGATCACACAAGTTACAACAGGTTACATTATGGTGATGGAGCAAAATCGATGTTTGAACAGCTCCAGATTACACTTATTACAACATATCCCATACTGCCTAGAAAGTGATGGAGAGCTCAGGATCATTCAGGTTACACACATATTCTAACTTATATAGACATTGATGGGGCAGCTTCAGATCAATCGAGTTACTCACATATCCCGTATCATATAGAAAGTGTGAAACAGTTCCATAAAACACAAAAGAACATAAATATTAGATGTCATAAAGACCAGAAAATTGTGATTGAGCAAGTTCAGATCATGCAATAAACAGGCATAAAGTATTAAATGATTCTTTATATTTGGTTTGCCAATGCCAATGCATGGATATATTATCCGTATTTGGGAATTATTGTTTCCACTGAATACATTAGGGCACATGTACATATATCTCAAAATCTTATGATGAATAAATGGCGATAACGAAGAGTATTCAAGCTCAAAAGTCCATTAAACAATACAAATTTTGGGGCAGTGCAAACACGGACCTCTAAAGCTCAAAGATGGGATCAGGTGCCATGGAGGAGTGAGCATCCCCTGCCGACCGGTCACACCCGCCGTGTGCTCCTTGTCATGATCGGGGAATAACGGGAAAATCCGTCGACAATTCAGTGTCTAAATAATGGCCATGAACAGATAGTATGAAAAACGTCAGTCAGCATTTGACTTAATGTATTTGCTGACAACGTCATTGTAACGACCATAGAACTTACGAAATGACGACTTTAAACGAGACTGCTGATATTCTTGTTTCATCAACTTGTTTTTCAATAACTTACCTCGTTTTAGAAATTGTTCATACGTAGAGCATGCTCTTGCGTATCGAATCATCTGAGAGATATTAACCCCGTATGCAGTTGATGAAGGTATATTGCTGTATAAGATAGGGAAGTTGATGATTGAAAAGTTAATAAAGTTTGGTTATCAGATAACCATTAACGTCTTTTCTAGTAAAAAAAAAATATATGAAAAAGATGTGTCAGATTCTGTGGTATCTTTTATTTCAAGCTCACCGGGATGTATCTTTTCAATAATTCAGTTAATCGTCCCAGTACATCTTGATTTCACATCAATACATACCTTTACTTTTATTCTTTACCTTCAACATGAGTAATATACAGTATATCTAAAGTTATTCCATATTTATCACCTGCACCGGACACTTCTTTTTGCAAAGAATTTCTTTCTCTAACCACTGACATGAAACAAGGGAAATGTAAAAGTTTATTTTTTTATCATCTATGCGTCTATGATAAGGCTCCACCAGATATAATAACTTGGAGAAATCTGTGATAGAAACTGTCTCAGGAAGGATTGAATATATAAAATGAAAGATAATTCTTTACTTTTATTTGTTGCTTTGCTAATTCATCTGTTATATATTTTTTTAGAAGAGTAAACTTAACGAACAATGATCTCGGTGCTGCTTGAAGGGGTTGCTCCCCTGTGTGATGTCATAGGTTTTGACAATCTTTATTTTAACTTTGTGTAGAAATATATCTTCTGGAAGAATAAATATTTGTAACTAAAAATATTTTTAATGAAAGACTTATAAACAATAATTCAAATAATTGATATATTAATTATTAACTCTTTAAAGATGCGCAAAAGGCAACGAGTCTTTTTCATGTATCTTCATGCATCTTCATTCCTGCATTTTCTTTATGATACTTTTTTCATGATATCCCCAATGTATACATATTTTAAAGTTATAATTATTTTTTTTTAAAGACCATCATCTCGCAAGTTCTATGGTCAACACATTGTCCTTATTAGCAAATACAATCCATAATTAAATCGAATCCTGACTGACTTTTTTCATACTAATTGTTAGACCAATATTTTCACTCTGAATTGTCTACGGATTTTCCGTTTGTCCATTCATGACATGGAGCACACGGCGTATGTGTTCAATCAACAGGGGATATTTTACTCCTCCATGGCACCTTATCCCACCTTTGATGTTTTTAGAGGTCCGATTTTGTTCTGCTCCTAATTTGTTTTGTTTCGCTGAACTTTTGAACTTGAGTACTGTTCGTTATTTTCATATTTCATTCGGTATAAGCTCAATTCACTAGATACTAGAAAATTCTCAAAAACGTTTTTAACAAAATATGTATTTGAACCCTCTTTTCAAATATTTCATTTTTTCAAACGTTTGTGTGGCATCTAGCTTTTGTTCAGAATCAAAGTATTTAAAAACTATTGAATATTTTGTCTTAGTATACTGTGAGGTGGAAAATCGATGTCAGTTCATCAATTCTGAATGACCGATTATTAAAAGGTGCAATGCGGAAGGACATTCCTGTTTACATTACACAAAAAAAAAAATTGGCACACATCAATACATCATTTTTTTCTTTTGTTTTTCAAACCAAAAGTAGAAAACCCCCAGATTCGAATACTAAATACATTTTAGATAAATTCCAGCATTAAGCATGAGTTCTGAATCTGTTGCAGTAGTTTGTTGTCTAAGCTGTCTGTTACTGCCAAGTGTTGTTTTGCAGACATCAGGGTTTTTCTCGCCATATTGGATCAAACAGAATTCAACAACAGACTGTTTCAGGGGGATCTTCTCTACAGTAGATTGTGATGACTCTATCAAAGGTATACTTCAAATAAAGTTTTTATTGAGGAGATTATTTATTTTCTTTTTGTAAGATATTCAGACGATTCAGTAAACATTTAATTGAGTGCGATGTACTGCAGTTAAATATATACATGCAAAATTTTTTTATCAGTTGAACCTAAAGTAACAAAGAGTCATAATATTTGTATGATTAAGAAAAAATTGAAACACTTTTCAAATACTCATGTAACACGTATCTTAAGACAAAAAACATGAAAGTTCATATTTTTACCTCCTTTAGTAAAGTTTAAGATGCACATACTTTTACCTTATTTAGTCAAGTTTTTTATTATTTCTTTTTTTTTTTTTTAGAATTTTACTTTTTGTTTTTATGCAACGTGCACCAAATGCTTATTCATTTATTGAATTTCTCTTCTTTATCTTTTGTTTGTTTGTCTGTCTGATTGTACATGTAGTGAGCTATCAAGGTATGTTAGTCGTCTTTTCTTTCGTCACGCGGTCTACAGAAAGTGTTATTTTTACCTTTTTTCTTCTTCAGAATAACTAGGCCAACTTCAAATGCTTGCCAGAAAGCATTTTTATACAAATGGAATATCGGGGTTTTTTTTAAATAAAGTACCACATTTTTACCAAAAAAAGCATGATATTTTGGAAATATAATGTCATAGTAAAGATTAAATGCTTTGCAAGGCTACTGAGAGAAAAGTTGATGTTACATAGATTTCAAGAACCTCGTTTAAGGTCAGCATTTTGTAAATTTTGTGGTTGTTATAGTAACTTTGTAAGCAAATATAGCCTTTTATTGGATCGTAATTTGGCTAACGTGTTTTATATCAATTGTTAGGCCTTATATTGTTTTTATATCAAATTTAAACTACGGAATGTTCCATTTACCTGATCAATACATAGGGCTCACGGCGGGGATACTTACATGTATTCCTCCCAGGCATCTGATTCCTCCTCTTTTCGGGATCCCTGCCCTGTTCATAGATTTGTACTGTCTGTAGATATTTTGAGACCAATAACTTTTCGTTATCTTAACCTTTTTCCATTACCGAACAACTGTTCCGTAAAAGAAAAAAAGTAGAAAAAAATACAGTTCATTCAAAAGAGATTTCAATTTGAATCTACGATTTAAAAAAAACTCTGAAAGCTCCCTCCCCCTCTCCCGATTTTTATTCTATGCCCTTAATCTGTGTCATGTTTCTGCAGGTCTCGGTGCCACCATTTTAGGTCTTCAGTCTTCAGCTCTCATCATTATTGCTCTTACAACAGTTGTTCTCTTGTATACTGTATGCCGTAATAAAGACGACGAGGAAGATGGTACTGGTTTTTGTGATAAATTTGGATTGTGTTTGACATTCCTATATCCTGTTGCAGGTATGACCATATTCATTGTGCATATTTAGAAATTAATGTGGTTTTATATTATGTCAACGAATGTGTTTGTGATTTAAACACATTAGGCCTCTCGCTTTGAAAAAGAAAACAATGCCTTTGACTTATGTTTGTATATGAAAAACATTTCGAAAAATAAAGCAAAATAATTTTTTTTTAATTTAAAAAAAAATTATACCAATAAAAAAAAATCATTTGTGGTACTGTATTTGAAGTTTTATTGTCAATGTAAAGACATTCGAGTACTTAATATATACTTAACATTGCATTGTCTATTGAGCATCATATCGTGTTATAGGAATCATTAGTTTTGCTGGATGTATGCTTGTTGTCTCGAATTACAAAAACCATGAGAAAGGCTGGGGATTTTACCTTTGTCTAGCAGCATCGTGTTACGTCATGATTGAGGTATTCCAACTTAAGACTTTTTGCATTTTTATGTAATAATCTCAAATTAGAATGACGTGAAATGTATAAGATTAAGAATTTTTTTTTTAAGTGAAGAAATTATAAATCGATAATGAATACTGTAATCAAGCAATAACTATTATATGAGTTCATTATACATTAGTCTCCTTATTTTTTATTCATTTATTATATCTTTTGTTTTGATCATTTGGACTTGATTTTGTTTGAAATATGAATATTTTTTATATCACGACTGTTTTTTTTTTAAAAAATCAGAGCCGTTTTCCTTATTCAATAACGAACAACTAAGTACAATTCAAAGTACTAAGTACATTTTTCCGGTACAGTGGATCTGAGAGAAGAGATTGATGGATAAATAAACATGCTTGGCAAACAATTGAATAACAAAATTGTAGAATGATTGTTTTTTGGTATTAGATTATTTTAAAGGAACACTTTTTGAATTATTTCATTATTCTAAGATCATCATATGCTGCTGTGCACTGTGCAAACTAACAAGATCAAAAGAGAACACGGATCTTGAGAGTGGGCAAGGGAATTCTGGTTATGTTGGACAGGAAGTTGGCCAGGAAGTTGTCCAATATGGAGCATCCGGTCACGACAACCAAATAATGTCTCCTTCCGATGGGGGAGAGATTATTTTGACTCACGTGCAAGAGCATCACCAATTAGAAGTCAGTAGCACCGGGACGCTTTTAATCAGGAAGCTGCAGGTCGCTAGAGTTTTCCACATCAGCTGAATGTCTTCTATATTGAAAATCTAATTCTTATAGTCAAAAGTACAATAAATCTTACACGAAAAATACTAGTGATATTTATAGAAAAAATATCGAACAAAGATTTTTTATTCCCTTTGCTGTCTGCTTTATTTGTAAAATCAGATTGAAAGACGGTCATTTATTTGCTGTAATTTCTAAAAGACATGTTCTTGTTAAGTCAATATAAATTCATTCTTGCAAATTTGCTTTTCTTCACAATTTTCTGTTTTGTAACAAAATTCATATAACAAAAAAAATATCAAATTTAAGCTTCTATGAATGTTACATAACAAATGACATAAGAAGCTTGAAGAAATACTCATATAAATTGTAACATACGGATTTAAATGAATAATTAATTATTTTGTCGGCTAGTTGTGTTGAAATCCCTCCTTTTCCTTGAATAATTCATCCGTTGTTCATCACTATGTATTTTGTTTTATTTAAATAATTAATACTTGAATTGACAACTCTATAGCTATGAAATGTTGGAACGGCTAAGAGTTACACATTAAAGTGTACAAGCTGGACTGTAGGTTTTACATTTCTACCGATATTATTTATATGTATTTGTGTACATAAGCTTCATAAACTGTCATTTATAAAGTAAACATATTAGATTACTTTCTTTATTTTTATAGATATTCTTTTTATTACATTATTTTTTTAATTCATCTTCATGTAAAATACATATTTCCTCAACAAAAGAGTCCTTGAAACTATATTTCTAGTTTTTATTTTATATTGCTTCCAAGTTGAATAGAAGGTGATTAACAAAAATAGCCACGTGCATACTTCCTTTCAAAGATTTCATGTTAAAAAACTATTTAAAAGATGTGTGTTTGTCAGCCTAAGGATGATAAAGCAAGTAGAAATCCGTCATCAACAATAGAATTTGTATTGATTCAATAGACTATCGAGCTTGATTACTGTTTGATATCTTCATATTTCATACACTCGCTCTCTAACTTAACGTTCCTGGGATAAATGTCTTCAGAATAAGGTTTTTGAAAGTTGACATTAAATTTTTACTAATTCTTAATTATCTCCCGTTGAAAGAAGAATTGTCATTTTTATGACTAAACTTCAATCCCCTTTGACCAAGGATACTTTGTGGGAAGTTTAGTTGAAATTACCCCCAGAGCATTCCAGTGAAGTTATAGGTCGAATGTGTTGTGCAGTGGTTTGCTCTAGAGTCGAATCCGACTGCAGGACGTGTATCCGGTCTTTCGGATGAGACAGTAAAAACCGAGGTCCCGTATCGCAGTACGTGTAAAAGATTCCTTAGTGCTCAAAGGTCTATGAACCGAGTACAGGTCTAAATTTGCAGCCCTACCTTGGCAAGAGATGGCTTCTAAAACTGAGTGAAAAATTTTTAAAGAGTCGTTAAACAAACAAACAAACAAGCAAACAGTGAAGATAACGTTATAATGCCTAGTGACGTAAGGTAGTACACTATAAATAGGCCAAATTTTTCCTCAAATTCATTTTTTTTAAACTTTGAAATTTTGTTCTAAGGTACAAAATCTCTCTTCATATGTAATTTGAAAGAAATTCAACCGCACATTGTTTGCCCACATAGTTTAAAATATGCCCTATCAGACCCCAGTAAGAAGATTGTGAAATCAGACATTGCACTTTATAGTATGCAGTTTTCAAAAATTACCGATCAATCTATTTAAGTTTTATATGATGCTTTTTATAAATACAACCGTTCTGTTACTATATTTCAGTTGATTATAATATTATACTTTCATGTAAATTAATTGAATCTGATTCGTCGAGAAACATTTGTTAAAAAAACACTATTAACCGCTGAATAATGAAGCCACGCCCTCCAGCGTAGCAACAGTTAATATTGCTTGACGACAGGTGTTATTCCAAAAAAAATATTGACTGCGCAGAATTCATGCGCGCAAGGTTCACTGTAATATGTATCTGTATAAAACATTCAGTATAATATGATAAATACTGCATGTAGTTGAATGTAACATTGAAAATATTCACCCCACGAAAACCATTGTCAACCTCGGCTGCGCCTCGATTGACAATGGTTTTCTTGGGGTGAAAATTTTCAATGTTACACTCAACTACATGCAGTATTTATATAGTAATACCGGTATGTTTAAGTAAAATATGATGAAAAAATAAAATACACATAGCCCAGGAATTGGAAATTAACATGTAAGTACGTAAGTACATGAAAATTTATAATTCAATTTTTAAAAAAAAAATCAACAGAATGATTGAAATGGAACCAATATTAAGATGTGTCAAAGTAAGGAACATTGAACTGACAATTTTAGATATTTTGGCTATTTAAAAAATTATTCGATGCAAAAAATTTGAAAAAATCAGTAGATGACGTAGACGACAAAATAGTTGACCTTTGACCTCTATATATGACGTTGACCTTTATTGTGTATAAAGAATGGGGACACCTTATATATATGTCCAAATATCAGGTCTCTACTGTAAATGGATCAAAAGTTACTTTGCAGTCAGGAGCAGACTATCATATAGCATGTAGATGACATAAACGCATGCTAAAATGTAGGCCCTCGAATGACCAATATAAGGGATTCTCTAATTTTTTTGTAAAATATGGCCAAAAACATGTCAGAGGTTATAAATTTACTTACACTGATCATTGATTATTGAGATTACAATGATATTATTCATTTTTTCTTGTGCACTTATAAGAAATTAGTTAAAACGGATTTCATTGGTGTTTTGTACTACCTTTTGGTAGAAAAGGTCACGTCAAGGTCAGAAATTTATACAATCCACAATATGGTTTCTAGATGATGATTTAAGTTTTACTGGAGCTTCTTCTGTGATTTTTTATAACTCCCAATGACTTAAAGAATACCCCTTTTGATTTTTTGATTGATTGATTGATTGATTGTATGTTGTTTTACGTCCCATTCTAGAATTTTTCTCTCATATAGAGACGTCACCAAATACCGGTGAAGGGCTTCAAATTTTGACTTTTACTCGGCACTCAGGACCATTGAGCAGTGAGGGATCTTTCTCGTGCCAACGTCTGCCGTGACACGGGACCTCGGTTTTTAAGGTATCATCCGAAGGACCCGCGACTTTCACTTCAAAGTGCCGAGCGCATATCGAAGGAACAGTTGCTACCTATTTTTTATCGACTTAGGTCAGTCGCGGCCGAGATTCGAAATTACGATCTTCCTATCACGGAGCTAGCGCTCTACCGACTGAGCTACCGTGAACGGTCTTGATTTTTTGATAAAAACATCAAGGTGAAAAATTCATATTTTGCATAAAATGCTTTCCGGTGATAAACAGTTCTTTTTAGGGAGTAGCAATGAAATATACTGCAATATCTTATACCTTTAGCAAATATTATCTGAAAAAATACTCCTTTTGACTTTGAGGTCGAAAGGTCAGAGACCAAGATCAGAAATTCATATGTTTTAAACAAACGTTTTAGGAGATAGCTTAAGTTTTTTTTTTTTTGGAAATTTTTGCAATGAACCTTCAAGGTCATGAATTTCGTTACCTTAAAGGGATTATTGACTTAAAGGTCAACAGCTGAAAGGTCAAGGCCATTTTTAACTTTCTCCATCTGCTTATTTTTCACTAAATCCACCCTCTTCTTTTTTCCTTAAGCGAGGGACACACATTCTCTGAATTAATTCGTGTTTCTTCAAACTAAAAGTTTCTTGTTTGTCTTTGTAGTATATTTAATTGAACCTTATATTTTACGTCCTTTGAATATTTTTAATTTAATTAAACTCTTAACTTCGCCCTGCCTTTCAAAACACTGACTTGATTTGAACATATTTTATTGTATAATACTTACAAAAGGATTGGATACAAATTCTTTCAGCATAAATAGATCGTCTTCTTGATATACAAACAATGAATATAGTATGATTGTCAAAACACTACAACATATCATAGCGAAAATGCCTATAAATACACAACATCCTCACCCTTAACTTCACCACTGTCTTAAAAAAGATGCAAATAAACTTTATATGATTAAAGTAATGCAATTAAGAAATGAAGATCAATATTCTTGCAATTCGTTGGTATCCTTCAACCATGAATTAACATTCTCCACGAATTAATCACACTATCAACGTCAAAACGTCTTTTAAAATTAGTTTGAAGCATACATGTGAAATGATTTTCTGTTTGTAACAGAGTTTTTTCATGTCACATAAAAACATTGAAAGATCGCTAAAACCCCTGTCACACCGGGCCTGCGTCCTCACGGCGATCGCAAGGCGTTCATAAAAAATTCAAAACGCCGATGTGAGCGCAGTAAAGTCTCCTACAGCGCTGTGACAACGCGGCGAGATCTCCACTGTATGCGGTAGGGTCGCGTAGGGTCTCATAGAACGCCAGGGGATGGCGCGCACTTTGGGCATGCACAAAGTACGCGCCGTGTGATCGCCGTCTGATAAGAACGCAGTAGAAACGTAGTATGATCGCCGTAGCAGCGCGGTGAGATCTCCAACAACGCAGTGGGAGCTCCGTACGCACGCTGTGAAGACGCACATGATCCCAGCATGAACGCAGTGATAGTAGACTGCGCTTCCACGGAGACCTCGCGGAGTCCTTGGAGATGTCACTGTGTTTCTATCGTGCTTTTACGGCGCTTCTAATGCGATTAATTGTCTTGTGATTTTTTTTGACTGCGATTACACAGCGACAACAAGGAGCTGTCACTGTGATCATTGCGCTCCCTTGGCGTTTCTATCGCGTCCGTTGGCGATCACAATGCGCTTTCAAGGCGTAGTTAGAGCGTTGTCAGCCAGCTCACAAAACAAGAGCAATGGCCTCATATTTATTCAGCAATAATTCTAACGTATTTGTTGCACCCCTGACCAGGAGCATGGGAGTAGAATTGGGAAGTAAAAATCACACCAGAACTTGTTCTGTTGTTTCAGTGGACTTAAATTTTATAACATCTTTTCAGTGTGTTTATTTTTTTTTAATCATAATAAAATCAAAGAAAAAAAAAACACAGCTGAATTGATATAATTGGAAAAAGAAGAGTTTAATAAAACTATCAATAATTTAGTACTAAATTATTTAAAAAGATTATTTTTAATTAAAGAATATTTCTTGGCATAAGTGGAAGTCTTTTCGTCATAAGACTTGAATCTTCTTTTTTTTTTTAAATGTGTTACACTCCTTCTGAATATATATCCATGGTGAAGAACGCATTGTGAACGTATTGTGAACCCAGCAAGCGCAGTGAGAACGCCGTGAACGCGAGGTGACAACTCCTAACACGCCGTAAAAGCTCCACGGAAGCGCAGTCAATCGCGAAGAGATCTCCGTGGGAACGCAGTAGCACGCCGTGAGAACGCCGTAGAAACGCGTGGGTCGCCGTAGGGACGCTGTGACATCTTCACATTGTAAAAATTTTCCTGAAATTTGTGCAATTTCCCTGCGATTCCACTGCGATTTTAAAATTTTTACAACGCCGTAATAACTCCGTGTGGACTCAGCTTGGTGTGACAGGGACCTTAATGAACTTTTTGTATATTCAGTATTTAAACAAGTTCGAATTTTCCCAGACGGGGAAATAGAAGTTAAATGCATGTATCCAAAGTCCTGTGAAGAAAGTTCACTATTTTACTGATAAAATTCATTTTGAAAAGAATCTAAATTGTTAAATTAATTTTCTAATCATACAAATATGAGATACTTTATTGAATGAGATTAAATATACGTTACATTTGAAGTACAAATAAAAAACCTTATGCAAAAGAGAGCTCAAGATTTTTTTAAACAAATGCTTCAGTATGATAATTAAACAGCTCCTGTTTTGGTATATGTAGATGTTCCTAGAAATATTATTGCATTGGATGTTTGTTGATACTAAAAAGAGGTGAGAAGAAGAAGCAGAGGAAGAAGTTAATCTGATGCTACAGACACTATATCAATTAAAGGTTAACTGATTAAACTGATCTCTACCACGGATAAAGATTTAAAAAATTCACCATCCCATCCCCGAATGGAATTATATATTCAAAAAGTAATAGCAATAGACTTAACTACAAAATCATTGTTATGTAACAATGGAACTACTTAATATATAGATGAAGTTGCTATGGAAAGAAATTTTATGCTACTGTATTTGATTATGAATTTCGTTCTTTCATTTTTTTTTCTGCTACATTCTTAATGCTATATAATTATTCATCTATATATATACGTATCAGCCGTACAGATCCATATCAGTACAGTCACTGTACGCATATACAAAACAAACTGTATTTATTTAATAGATGAATTTAATTTTTGAAAATTCATTAGGACATGAACTACGACGCTTCACGCCAGTGTGAAGACGAATAATGACCCCCATAGGAAAATGACCGGGGGTCATTTTTCGCCGTCGAAAAACGACCCCCGGTCAATATTCAACGGCAAAAAATGACCCCCAGTCATTATTCGACGTTGAAAAATGACCCTTTTGCCCGCAGAAAAAGTGTCATCACCCTAAAAATTTACCCTACCTGAAGAAAAATGACCCCCGTAGAATAATGACCACTTATGGATTAGAGTTGAAATTTTAAGGGGGCAAAAACAAATCAGTCAATCAAGAGACCTATTGGCCAAAATGCTCACCTGAGCTTAATTGGGAATAAATTGACGATATGTTGATCTCATTACATTATACAATTATTGCTATTTTAAGGACAATGCGATAATTCAGAATCTAAAGGAGTAAAAGATTTATCAAGCCCAAAGGCGAGGTGAACATTGTTTTTTCGATGGTGGAAAATCATCGTACTGACAGAAAAAACAGCAATATTTGTTTTATTATATGATTCAACGAATAAATTGATACAAACTCATTAAGCAGACATGTCAAGTTTCTTGTTTACATTTTCTCAAGTCCCAGCCAAACAAAGTGAGAGAATCGGAGTTAACATAAGCATAACCAGTATCTATTTTGCATTTGAAATGTATTTAGGTGCAATGTAGGAAAGAAATATCAGGCATAACATCGAAAAGGGAAATGGGGCATTATAAGAGGCAAAAATGACAAGTTACCTTAGAAATATCTTTGATGAACCCCTCAAAAAGTTTATTGATGTAAGGGGGGATTTCCTTTTACTCCACTGTATCAAAAAGTTGGGGGTAGAGCATCCAGACTTGCAAGGAACATTTTCAAGCAAAAAAAATAAATAAATAAAAATTTACGTTCATGAAAATGGAAGGGGAAGGACACCCCACCCCACCCCTGATTCTATGCTCCTGAATGTTATGTGCACCTTGTCCACTCAAGTAGGAGAGGTTTTTTTTTTTTAACCAAACTGTATTAAAAAGAGGGTGGGTACAATACTTTCGATGAACATTTTCAAACTAGAAATTGCTCAAATTTACATTCAGAAAAAGTGGGGAGGGGGCAATCTCTCCCCCTTCTCCTATTCTTTGTGCCTGAATATTATGTTCACTTGAGTGGAATTTTGATTCAGATGAAATAACTTTTCAGAATTGTTTTCAATCTATTTTTAGTTCAATGTAGGAAAAATAAATCCTTATGTTCACCTGGAAGGTCAATAAGATGGTCTGCCTTAATGATAAATTGAAAACATATTAATCTACTTCAATATACATGTACACTGTATTGAAATGTTTCCATATTGATTTGACAAATGCATCAATGTTTTAAAATAGAGTAAACAAATATTCCTCTTATATGTATGTATCCTATTCTCAGATGACCATGTTGACAGACTTGAATTTACATTATACTGGGATTCATTTTTATTACTTTATATTTGAAAAGAAAAGAAAATTGAATGCACATTATACGATTGTATATATATTTCAGACATGCAGAAATTTTATGTCCTTTTTATGTATGTCTGCTTCACATTTCGACGTTCTAATGAATATAGACGATGAAGTCCAACAAACAACTAAATTGTCTGACAGATAGGATGACTTCAGCCTTTTCCATCATCAACTTTCCTTATTTATGCAGTAATATTTCGCTATCATTTGCATACGATGTTAAGGTTTACCATCTCATTCGATACCAAAGAGCACGATTAATTTTTAAAATCGAGGCATTCTACTGAGAGATAAGCTGATGTTACAGGGGTTTCAATAACCTCGCTTAAAGTCAGCATTTCGTAAATTTAATGGTCGTACCTGTTAACAATTTTAACCCTTAATTGGGTCATTTTTTTGGCCTTTGTTTTTACTCAATTCGACAAAGAAATGTTCCGTTTACCTGCTTTTTTCATAGGGTTCACGGCGGATGAGAGGGATGCTTACTCTTTCTAAGCCCCTAATCCCACCTTTACAATCTTCGGGGGTCCTTTTTATACCCTGTTAACAGAATTGTATTGTTTATGGATATTTAAATCATTACTGTTCGCTATCTCCACCTTTTATTCCATTAGGAAATACATTCATAGTATGTTGTTCGCACGAGGTATTATGTCATTTGCGATACATATTGTACATCATTTCCACGATGCGGGTCAATTCCGGGTTCGTCCAGTGTTGGTCAAAAGGACATAAAAAATTAACCTTGGTATCAATTACCTGTAATAATTTTTGCATCACTCTGTTGGAAAAGGGGTCATTTTTCAACGGGAGTCAATTTTTTTTATAGGACACTCATATAAAAAAAAAGACCTTTAGGGCTCTTTTTCTACAAAAAATGAATTTTTTTTACGGCTGGGGGGTCATATTTTGTAGTTGAAAAATGACCGCTCGGTCATTATTCGACGGGGGTCATTATTCGTCTTTACACCGGCATATTTCATGAAGCGCATTAGCGCTTCATGATAAATATGCAGGCATGAAGCGTTGTAGTTTATGTACCTCATGAATTATCAAACACCAATCAACGATCATTTTTGAAAAAAAAGTTTGCACTATATTTTGACTTCAATCACATCACAATAGAAATACTTTTTCTCATCCAACGGTAGTTTATTTTCTCATCATTTTCTCATTTGCAAAGAATCGTAAGGAAAAATATTTGGAAATGTAAATTTTAATAGGTATATAATGAAAGCTTAAACAGCTATAACGGCATCGCGATACACGTTAACTATCCTCAAGCATGAGTGAATGGTACGACTGAATTATTTCACATACATATTAAATATTCTATGGGTAAAATGTGTTTCTTTTCATATTTATTTTTTAAATCGAATCATATTTTTTTTCTATATTTGAGGTTTAAAACTCGTGCTCTTATTCAAGTTGCATTTCCACTTAAAAGATACATTCTGTTAAATTTCTATAAATATTACATCACGTGAATGCAGTCTTCGTGAATTAAAAGAATTGGGTCACGAAGCTTAAACAAAACAAATTGTACTGTTCATTACGCAATATTGCTACCATAGCACTGAATGTGAGATATTTTTCATATATCTTAACTTGATTATTGGAATTTGAATTTCAAAGCAGTAAATAAACCGAGAAAGCAGTATGTCGCGTGAATCAGTCCAACGTGGATTTTTCCTGCTGTGTAAATACCTCCCCGCCCTGGCCTTACAGGGGGTAGGGTTTTTTACCCCTCACTGGATAGAAAATGAAAAGTATAACTGTTCACAAGGACTTCTCGTAAATAAGAACTGTACCAGTGATGTCGAAGGTAGGGACTTTTTTTCATATCACCAGTTAATGCATGATTATTTAAAATATATACTCAATATTTTTTACTCAAAATATTAAGGCACTAGGTGAATCGAGGACATTCAGTTTGAAATGTTTAGATCTGTCTCAGAAAATTATACCATTAAGAATTCAATATGACAATATTTGCAAATAAAAGATGTCTGAGCATTAGAAAACTGTGTTTATTCAAAACGAAAGTAGAAACCATTTTACATTCTGATCTGCGAACATAATAATTAGGGGTTTCCAGTGACGTAACAGGTAAATATGTGACCGATATGCATAAGTTATGCATACGTACGTTATCTCAATGGTAAGGGAAACGCGAAAATGGATGATTGCTAAATTATGCCATGTAAAAAGAGATGTTATAAAACAAACATAAATAATTGTTAAGTACGGTATATCAACGTTTTATATTTACATTCGGGAAGATTTTCTTTTTTATTCTGTTATTTCTTATAAAATCCACTTCTTTCATCAATCAGTAAACGCCAGTTAACTGGTTAAAACCGGCTTTTCAAGCCACCTGCATAGAATTCTTGTGCTTTTCTATGGAAAGCCAAATTAACATTTTTTTTAAATATTTGTACATATCTTCAAATCAATTTTACCTATCTCCAAATGAATTGTAGATAGGTATTTCAATAACACTTATCTTTCATTCATTTGGAAATGGGTACATTTGATTTGAAGATAGGTACAAACACAAAGAATTAAAGATAAGTATAATTGATATAAAGATAGATGCATGCAGTTGAATTGAACCTGGGAAAATTGCTTTATACGTATCTTCAAATCATTTGTGGAAATGTATTAATTTTACTTATCTTTAAATCAATTGTAGGGATCTCTAAATGAATTAAAGATAAGTATAATTTAATATAACCTATCTATAATCTATCTATGAATTAAACCTATCTGTAATGCAAATAAAGATAGGTTTAAATCTTTTGAACATAGGTTGTCATTTAAAAATAGGTGTAATCATTTACATGGAATTTATTACATGGAAATTATTTACATAAAATGATTATTTACACCTATCTTTAATTCATTAAGAGCTATCTTTAATTCAATAGTACCTATGTTCAACTTCCTTGAAGATAGGTTCAATTATTTGAAGAAAGGTACAATTATTATACCCCTACCCTTGAAAGGCGGGGATGTATTGTGATGGTGGTGTCCGTTTCTCTTTCCGTCCGTCCATTACCCTTTGGGGTACCTATCTCTTATCCGAAACTCCCCTTATACCACTGAATAAAATATAATGAGACTTTCACAGAATCTTTGTTATATGGTGTCATTGTGAACCTCCCATTTTTCTTTTCGATCGGACATATATGTCACATATTTCGAGTTTCTTTCCCATAGCAATACGTAGACACTGCTTTTTTTTTTTTTATAGAATCGGGGAACCCATCTCTTACCCGCAAGTTGTCCTATACTACTGAATAAAATTTAATTATACTTTCACAGAACCTTTATTACATGGTGCCATTGTGCACTTCCTATTTTACTTTTAGATCTGAAACATATTTCGTGTTTCCAATGGTAAATATAGACACTACCATTCTTTTTCATAAAATAAGTGGTATCCATCTCTTATCAGCAACTCCTCCTTTATTTAATATTACTTTCACAGAATATTGCACACCTCCTTCTTTATATTTTGATCGGACAGATATTTGGGCTTCAGTGCTCACAGTACCATTAGTTTGATTTGTACCAATCTTCAAATATGTGTAACAATCTTCAAAGTAATAGTACCTATCTCCAAATGAATTGTTGTTTGATTGGTTGTTGCTAAACGTCCTTTCGAGAATTTTGAAATCATATTGAGACGCCACCTCTTGACGGTGGAAAGCTGTAAATTTAGATCTGTACTCGGCACCAACGGCCTCTGAGCAGTGAAAGAACTTTTTCGTGCCAGCACCTACTGCGACATGGGAACTCGGTTTATACAGTCTCATCCGAAGGACCGGTCTCCACGTCGCACAATGGATTCAAACCCGCAACGTTAGGATATATTTCTTACACGGCGACTCTAGAGCAAGTGCTCAAACTATTGTACCACGCGGGCGACCCAAATGAATTGAAGATTGGTTCAATTCTATTAAACCTGTCTTTGATGCATTTGGTGATATGTACAATTGACTTGAAGAAAGGTATAACAGAATTGAAGATAGATACAAATACAAAGAATTAAAGGTGTGTATAATTGATTTAAAGATAGATCCAATTGAATTGAACCCTGGTTTAATTGATTTGTATCTATCTTCAAATTCTTTGTGGAGATGTTTCAATTGTACCTTTCCTTTAATCGAATGTACCTATCTTCAAATGAATTAATTATAGGTATAATTCAATTAAACCCATCAGTAATTGAATTGACCCTATCTGTAATGGAATTAAAGATAGGTGTAATTCTTTGGAACCTAGGTTCAATTATTTAAAGATAGGTGTAATTATTTACACCTATCTTTAATTTATTTAGACCTATCTTTAATTCAGTTACTTACCTTCGATTAATTTGAAGATAGGTTCAATAATTTGAAGGTAGGTAGAGATATTTGAAGATAGATATAAATATTTGAATATTTATTGAATTGGTGTTCCATTCTTCCCAGTCTTGTTTATGGCTTTCAATTTATCTTTCAAAAGAATTAGTAAATATATTTAGTTACATATGAATTGAATTGAGAAATAGAGGGAAAAGTTATACCGTGACGGTTATTGAAATATCAATGTTAAGATTCATAAAAACAAAGAAACGTTCATATTATATCATGTTAATATCTACGTATCATGTAATATTCAAGTTAAACTTTATTTTTCTGAACTAAGATTTTAACCTTAACTCCTGAGTTTATTTTATCAATTAACATTGACTACGAACAAGATAGGAACCAAGATGGGGAAAAAAGAGTGATTTGATAGTCAGAACAACAGGACGATCAAGGGAGATTACTTTGTAAAGACACTGATATCAGATTTTTTTTATTTCAAGTATCATGAAACATTTACAGAAAATTATATAAATGTAATTTTATATAAGATAATCAGATAATATGCTAATCTGAATTCTTATAATGTAATATATCACTCTAAGAAAAAACACATAGACACTTGTCTATGTTTATCTAAAACACATGTGTGATATATCTACAGTAGTTTATAATTGCATATACATTGCATGCAGATGCATTACGAGCAGCGTTTACAATATTATATGATGTTATGATACGATTTGTTTCATCAATTTATTGATCTTTCTTTATCCTGATAATAAGCACTTTTAAAAGAACATGCAACAATAACTTAAAGGTAAGACTTCTTAACTTCAGATCTCCATTCCGCCGTGCTGGGTTTGGAGTCCGTCGCCTTCGCCCTCCTTGCCATAACAACCATTGTAAATATCATTCTGGAGTGTTGCTATGGAGAGAACAATCCCTTGACAACCAAAACTCGCTGCATCAGCGCATTTTTCTTCGGAATCGGAGGTTTGATTTTTTATATTGTGATACTGAAATTTTCTTTTCCGAATTACAAAATTCTTTAGCAAGAAAAGGCAATCTAAATATTTTTTTACAGCAATAGATTTCGATAATTGTGAAAATAATATATACAAGAATTAAAAATGTAATAGAGGTTAGAAAAATTATATTTATCTATAAAAGGTCTTTAGTTCTTAAATTATATCCAAATATAGCAAATATACCAACACTTTATTGAGTATCTTTTTTACTTTAAAATTTAATGACAGTTTTATCAATTAATCTACATATTTTGTTTTTAATTTTACATAATTTTAGGTATTCTGGGATTGATAGGCTGTGTCGCTGTTTTTGCAGAGTATACACACCAAACTAGGGGGTGGTCTTTTTGGGTTAGCTTTGCAGGATCTATCGTTGCTATAGTCACGGTAAACCAAATTTATCTTGTTTAAATATATAATCTTTTGGAAAAAATAAATGTTTTCTTTTAATTATAGGATTTTTTGGTCGATTTTTCTATCAACATTACATTTTTTTTATTCTATTTAAGAATAAAATGTCAATTTCAACCAAGAAAGAATAAGAATAATCGTGAACATTTGAGAATTTGTTTTCTATTTAAGAAATGCTTCCGATAGAGAAAGCAGAGTAAAAAAAATACCATTCCTGAAATTGATAAAATAATGGTATATCTGAAGCTTTATTACTTTACAGTGGACAACCTTCAAGGAAAGCAGGGACCTCTTTAAAGACACAAGTTACCAAACACTGTAATAAATACAGGACGCACTCTCCACAGAGTCTTGGTGCACGGAGCTATCTTTTCGGGGGTTTTGTAGGTCTATGTGTGTAAATATTTCATATTGTACGGAAATATAGATTATGAAAAAATTTACGTATCCTAAACAAAGTACACTGATGAAAAGAAACTTGAAATACGGAAATAATTCATGCTAAAACATGTACATAATTTTAATTTTATTTTTATTTCAATCTTATTAATGAAATATATTTTAATATATATTAAAAGTCTTAAAGATGTCATTAAAGTCAATTTATTGAAGGAATTGTTATTATTTTTTATTATTATTATTTTTTTCGGATATAAACTTATTTCATTTGATCAAACTGTATATTTGGATTGAGTTTAATTCTTCAGTTTTACCGGTATTTCTGTGCATGTTGTGTACATATTTTTTCTAAATATATTTTGCAAAGGAATGATTACTTATTTGAAACTTTTTTGCTTGTTATATAAACCTTGTCGATTGTTTGAAATTTTGCACACCCATTTTGTGTATTTTATATTTGTATGATTCGGAAAGAGACTCATTTCCTTACATAGCATAATATATGCTTTTGCTTGTAATTTCACAGTATTGTTTGTTATTGTAATTTTTTAAAACAAATTTATTGCTAAAAAGATTTGTATAATTAAATATTTACATTTGCAAATGTTTTCCCTTAAATAATACTTTGAATAAGTCGTTTTTATACCTGTGTAAAAACCAGCTCATCATGTGACCATAAATTGATTGTTTAGTCATAAACGATCTACGTAATTTCATAGTGACGTCATAAGTGATCGATGCGTTCAATACATTAAATTTATATCGTTGAAGATTTAAAAAATAAATCATTTTATGGGTTTTAAACTATAGGACAAAACTATTTGTAATAAATCAGTCACAAATGTAAATATAAGTAATAAGGTATCATTTTAAAACTTTTATCGAGATGTAAATACGGGTTGGCACGTGATCAAATCTACTATAAAGCACTTCGGGCTTTATGGGATTTGATCACATGACCAATCCGTATTTACATCCTAATAAAAGTTTTAAAATGATACCTTATTTCTTAAATAACTGAAATGAATGCACTTCAACATTTTCTAATTTTCTCAATGAACCTATCTATGATCATATTTTATGAATATATCAGCAGACCTGTCTGACATAAATTACAGATTAATACGAATACGAAATTCTGAAGATTTTTGGTGAATCTCTGTTATTTATAAAAACATGATTTGAAATTTTTAAAACAATCAATACATAAAAAAGTATTTCAAAATGGAATGGATTAAAAATTTTAAAAATAAACTTTTCTATAAGAATTAAGCCGATCTTCATATAATTCTCGAAATACGAGGGGTGATCAAAAAGTTCGCGAACAATTTGAATAACTTCCTTAAAAGACATTAAATGCGGTTTCATTGTTTATTATTTTTTAAAGTAGTCCTCTCCGATTTTAATGCACATCTGCCATTGTTCTGCCCATGCGCGAATCACGTGATCTAAGCAGTCACGTGACATGCTCCGTAGCAGTTTGTTCAAAGAAGCTAAGAGATTTTTCCGAGTCTTATATTTCTTACCATGCAAGTTATTTTTCATAAAATGAACAGTCCATCTGTCAGAAATGGCCAAATTTCGGCAATAGGATGGGTGGATAAGGATATCCCTTCCCACAATTAGTATGCTGACCCATCACAACCCGAGTTCTCTGTCTCGGGAGCGTCGTTTATCAAATGTGGATAAAGTATGGGCGCATTCTTTTTATCATATCTCATATAATTAAAGTCTAAAGTAAACGATATTCTAGGGATTTAATGATTATAGTATTGTTAAGATATTCAACCATTTTTCTAATTGTAACTTGACGATGTTTCATAACAAATTGCTCAGTTCAGGACACGTCTTTTCCCCCGGCTTGCGTTCGCTGGCCATGGGCAACAGAACAAACATCATTTTTAACCATCTCCCTGCCTTCACTAAAACAATCCATCCAATTAATGATTGAACGTCTGGTAATTTTTTGTCTTCATAAACTTTGTACAAATTATCATCTTCTACTGCAAAAGAATTTCCAAGATATATGTTAAACTTTACAGCCGTTCGTTGCTCGAGTACGACTGAGTCCACCATTTTTTGTCACAAGTGACCTACATATTGACGTCATTTTCACATTGTGACGTCACAAACACCAAGCAAAAAATTATTTAACATCTGTTATTTATAGAACATGTGTTTGACTATATGTGTGCCAAATTTCATTCTGATGTGAATTGTGGTTTTGTAAATATAGAGATAGTTCGCGAACTTTTTGATCACCCCTCGTATGTCTCCATAATGTAAAAAAAAAATTAAATCTTGCTGATATGCTCCAAAATACACAGGGATGCAAAGTTTGATTGCATACCGTATGTAATTGGATGCATGAGAAAAGGTCTAAAGGAAATAGGTGAATAATGTTAGGTTTCATCTAGAGTGTAGAAGGTAAAGAGAACGGACAGTGATCAACCACAGAAATCCAGTAAAAAAATGGTTGACAGGGCGAAGATTAGGTACCTAGGATTAGCAAGCATCCCTGTCGACCGTTCACACCCGTCGTAGGAGGAAAAAGCATCCCTGTCGACCGTTCACACCCGTCCTAGTAGGAAAAAGCATCCCTGTCGACCGGTCACACCCGTCCTAGGCCTAATGAGTCCATATCTGCTCTAACTGTGTTATCATTATAATGATATGTATTTTATATATACTGATATGCATATCCAAATGAATTTATTTCCAAAACCCTCGCTTATCTCGATAAGGTAATCATTAACTGTCCCACAAAAATAACAGGGAGAAATGTGAATAAAACTGAGTAATACGTGGCAAAGTATGGTATAGCATAAACGAATCAAAAGGAATTCAGTGCTTTGCGGTCTTTTATATCAGTTTATTGCGTCAGATAAATTACGAAGACAAATGTTTCAAAAAGTTGACCACTATTCTGCATAATGAAGCAAAAACACTCTGACTATATCATAAGTCATTCCGATGGGAAGTGTTTGATATTCTTTTGACGAAAGCTTTGCTGTATTCTATTTTTAATATTAAACACACATATGAGAAAATATAAACTTTTCCTTTATTTTTTTTTTATCATTTTTGATATATTCTAGTGCAGTGTATATAATATGTTAGGAATTCGTTTTTTATATCAAATGTCTTTTATACCTTTTATCAAGAATAATACATGCAATGCTATTTGAAATTCATTCGATTTTTTGAACATTTAAATGGCACTTGAGCAAATCCATGAAGCGAAACAAAGTCTTTTTTTAGGTTGGTGTAAGAGGTATTTGAGGTGATTTGGGCTCCTAGACATAATAGATGGTGGAAAGTAACGATGGAGACGAAATTTCAAATCAGTTTTCAGTGGTCATTTTACTTTAGATTTGAAATTTAAGGACATACGCAACGTAGTTTGAACTTTATTGTCTTTTTCCCTGGAGTTGAAGAGTTCCAATACTTAAAGGAACTGTGTGCTACAGCTTAATGTCTACATATGCTGCTGTACACTTCTTTTGAAACAAGTTTGGATAAACAAAACATCTAGAATGTATGTTTAGTAATTTTTGTATATTTTTCTTTGAATTATACAAAAATTTTCATCAATTTATATCTTTTCAAAACCCCTGGTAATGCATGCTGATTTTTGTGTACGAACGTCAGATGGCACTATAATCTTAAATTAAGATTATCTTAAAAAATTATCAGTAGGTAAGGTACGTTGCGTATGTCCTTAAATTTTGATGTATAATATAAAACAAATCATATTTTCTTCCAGGGAGCCCTTGGCACCTCTGGTAACGATTAGCAAATAATACCTGACAAGAAAGTGCAAAATTATTTTGTTAATTGTTTTGAAATTAATATGTAAAAAAAAATGTTGTTTTTCAAATGTTATTGTATCTGAGTAATGTCTTAGAATTTTTCATAGAAAAATGAAATCGAGAAAGTTTATCCCCGTTCATGAGATCTATAACGCATCTATACACTCTACTGTATTTTTAATTGAATTAAAAAGACAATTAATTTTTTATTAAATGAAAAAAATTCGAAACTGATATTGATATTTTGTAATAAGTATATGTATATGTAAAATATGTAAAATGCGAAATGATACAGAAAAAGATTCTAATGTGCTGTAAAGTTCTTTGTAATTTCTAGTAGGTATTAAAAGACTTAAAAGTCTACCTTGTTGCTGTGCAACATGCATATGCGCAGCATGACTTTGTAGTAGTTACAAACTTAAAGTTCGAATTTAAAATTCAATGCTTTTCTTTTTTTTTTTTTTTTTGAAGATAGGTTTTAAATTATCGCGAAGGAATTCATTTTAATAAAAACCTAGAGTCCAGATCAGGGTTTCTTTCGTTTCCGTTTGTTGACTTACTAAGATCAACACTTAAGATTTTAAGCAAATAAGGTGATGAAATCCTCTTTATAAATGATTAGCTGGTTTTCAAACATACAATGTAATCTGAATTGATTGGGCAGATTCACGGTGTGCACTGTTGGCCTCTCAACAGAGGTGTGTCCTTCGAATGTCTATTCAATTTTGACAACAGTGTCTTTTCAATAGATAAGAATATTTCTTTTTTAAAAAAATGTCCTTTGAAAACTGGTTTCTTTAGTGAGAGCGATCTAGGTCATATCTTTATTTACACCATAAATTCGTCCGTGTCATCATAGGTTTAACAACTATAAATTTATCAAAGAAAAACATTTTTGTTTCAATTTGAAGAAAATTCACCGAATCATACCTTTTATATTAAATTTGACTTTCAAAAATCAATTCTCCACATCAAATTGAAACAAATAATCGTGTATATCTGTTTAAAATATCTCATAAGCGGGTAAAAATTCAAAGACGAAAACAAGAAAAATATTTGTTTTATATTTATACACATGTATTTTGGTGGCAACAACGTATATTCAAAACAATGGTATGACAATCTTTGCACTATGGCTTATTGTATTAAACGGTTCATTTTAGTTGTATATATTTGTCCACAACATGTTCTGCAAGATGATTGACAATATGTATTAAAATGCATGTTAAAAATATTATTAGATTTTATATTATTAGATTTACTGTCTTGACAAACAATTTTGTAAGTATTAAAAATTAAATCAGTTAATAACATTGGAAAATATTTTTGCGCAGACTTCTACCCTGGCAAATGCACTGAACATGTATCATTTTCTCTACCCTATAGTAAAGATTCTGCTGCATTATTCCTTCTTTTTATTGTCTTTCAGATGATTCCAAAATTTCCAGCATTCTTTTTATCAGGACATCTTTCGATTTCTTCGCATCTGAAAAAAGAATATCGAACTGTACAAATGTTCTCTACTCTCTTTAAAAGTGACATGGAAAAGTTCCAAATATTCTCATATTTTCATCATCAAAGTATCTTGATTTAATATTTTCCTTATCTACAAAAGTGATTTTTCTCCGTATCTGTGAAATTGCCATATTTTTTTTTTTTTACCAAAAATGTTAGAGATCAGTGATTTTTCAATCTGAAGTTGAAAATTTGTCATGAAAACATTTTCAACTTTAAATTGAAAATTGATAAACGACAATTTTTTGTTTACCTTGTGATTCTTGGGTCCCCGTGCAAAATTTACAGCATAACCTTCTTTGATACTTATCGGAGCACATCAAGGTTTTATCGTTTAACCAATGAATTCTCAGTCTGTCCTTACAGAGTTCGTCAAACTTTTCCTCAATAAAGTTCTCTTTGCAGTCTGTAGCTAAAAACAGAGTGCAGACATTAAAGATATAAATCTTTCCTAAATGTAAAACATTTTTGGCCTAAAAGTGTCTATTACACAGCATACTCATATGTCATAACTGTATATAGTTTATATGATTTGTGTTCATGATTAGATTTTTTTTTCCTCTGGAAAATTAAACTTAGATTTTTTTTAGCGATAGAATAATGTATAAAAACCATCGTAAACGCTTTCAAAAATGGCGAAGTAATTTAGAAATAAATTGAATCCCCTGTAATAAAATCTTGTTTCAATGCCAGACCAGATTTTATTTCCTTTGTAATCTACACACTAAAAAGCACCTAAGATGGGTCTCACTCGGATGGAGGTCAAGGAATCCTTAAAAATATATCCTATGATTTGTAGCGTTAGAAAATTGAGGGCAAACTTTCAAAATTTAACGGTTTACCCGCTCCTGTATGAAAACGCCTTGGATTTAAGAACCCGTTTAATATGTAATTAAACTCTCTCTCTCTCAAAAAAAAAAAAAAAAAAATACATACATGTATT